CACTGGGGCAAGGACAGGGATTTTAACTAGATCCTTCCTAGAACTGAGCTATTCTCAGCTGCTGGCATGGCTGTAGGAACCCAAGCTGCCAGTCCCAGGAGGTCTGGGCTGAGCCTGTCTGGGCTGAGACACGTGAGCAACAAAGCCCCTTCGCCTCCCTCCATCCTGCCTTTGGCAGGCAGGGGCTGCCCCAGCCTCCCGTCCCCGGCCCGGCACCTGCACATCAGTGATCCAATGCCCCTGCTCACTTGCTCTCAGTTTCTGTGTGAGCTGGCAAGGTGCAGGGCTGAGAGCCGGGCGGGAGCCCTGGCAAACACAGCACAAGGAAGCAAAGCTTGCAAAGTCCACCCAAACTTCTGCTCAGGCTGCCCGGAGCTTTGTCTGCCATCCCCATACCTGGCGGATGCCGTACTCACCATGGTCGCCCGCAGCTGCAGAGATTGCCCATGTCGCTCCTGCCTCCATGAAGCAGAAGTGTTTTCTGGACAGGGAGAGCTTGTATTTCCTGGTTCCTGCTCGGCCCCTGGCTATTCCAAGGGAGTGTCTGGCAGTGTCAGATTTCTCTCCATCGCTGCAGTGACGCTTTGCTATGCCCGTGCGTGCCATCTACTGGAGGGCTTGCCCTGTGCCCTTCGTGCCCCCAGGGCCTGTGTTCACCTCTTGCTACCCAGGAAGGAGAGGGCAAGGTAGCAGCATGCCTCCAGGCCTCAGCCCTGAGGCTAAAATTCTGCTTTATGATTTGTACAGTGGATGTCCCTCCGCTATCCCTCTCTCCCACCAGCGCCATCCTGCTGATGCCAGCAGTGATGCAAAAGAGAATGGAGGAGGGACTTCAAATGTTCCTGAACAAAGGAGAAACACCAGGGTGAGAGCTCTCAGTGCTGTTCCTGCTGTTCATCATTGCATCTCAAGCAGGATGTCAGAAAAATGCGTGGCACAGGCTGGCATCACCTGAGAAAGAGAGCGTATCTTCTTGGGAGGGAGGTGATGGCCCAGCAAAGGTGAGAGCAGGCTTGCAGGTCTACTCTCAGCTGAGCTCTAGTGCTGCTGCTTCTGCTGCAGGCAAAAGAGCATATGCAATCTCAGGGACATTACTGGGAATCCATTTTTTTTTAAAGCTACCTAGATGGAAGTGTACAGTTTTGTGTTTTTGAGAATGACAGAATCCCATGAGGGACCTCGCATCATTAAGGACCTGCAATACAGCTCTTAGGCTCACCCCTCACCTGTCAAACAGGAACATTAATGTGCATTTTACCTCTCTACCCCTGTTAAGAGCCCTTCAGACTGTGGCTGGTCATTCCTGGACTGAACAACAGATAGCTGATCTCTGGCAGCTCTAAAAGAGCTGACACTCAATATTGGAAGATACCACATTAATGTAGTCCTCCAGCAGAAACTGTACTCCACAGCTTTGATTTGGCAGTCAGCCCCAGTTCTGTGCAGGCCTGAATGCTTCATGGGATATGCTGACAAGTGGGCAAGTTTTAATTCACCCTTCTGGTGGGCTATCTCTCAGGAACCTGCCCTACTCCCCTACTCCAGCTGTACGCATGCTCTCAGCCAGGCTCACAGCATCATTTATCATCTGCCCAAGTGCAGAGCAAAGCTTGTACTTGTCCAAAAGTAGCAGGAGGAGAAGGGTTTTTCTTTGGAAGGACCATGGGGCAGAGCTGCTCTCTTAGCTGAATCCTGGATGAGCTGCACCGTGAGCCTGAGTCTTGCTCCAAAACTGCTCCTCAGCATGTAGCTGTAGAAATTGCAGAGCTCAGCCTGCACCACAGGACTCCGAGGAGAATTTAGGATCAGGTTTATGCAGGCAGATGGGATTCAGTCCTGGTCCCAACAGGACCATGTTCTCAGGGTCCTGCAAAGACCGGGTGGTCTAAGGAGTCTGTCCCTACTTGGGAAGCTGCAGACTGTGTGTCTCTGGGTTTGCCACAGACACTGTTGATTTAGCCAGTGTCTGTTTTGATTTCTGGGATAACTTGGGCTTTGTTGCTTGTGGAGAAATAAAAAAAAAGGCTGGGAGCCTGTTCCCATCAGCCCCTTTCACAAATACTGGAGCTGCTGGTTTGAGCTCCATCAGAGAAACAGAAAAGCATCAAAAACATTGGCAGAGCTGGAGAGCATTTGGCTGCCACTCTGCATTCCCTCCTCAGTCTGTGTCTGCAGGGATGAAAGAGAGCATGGCTTCCAGCGCTCCTGCTCAGCAAATCGATCAGGCTATTTTGTGCAAAGCCTGCCAAGGTGCGGAGGAACAGCCCAGTGCCAGCCCCTCTCACTGTATCACTGCTTGGGGCAGCTGTCTTCATGCACTCAGGGACATTGTCTGGTAACAAGCTGTGCAACTGGCACAGGACAAGCCTGCAAGTGCCCAGTAATAGAGAATGAACTCATTGGAGAGCAAAGATAGGGCTAATAAAAGCCAGAGAGGGAACAGAACTGTGTAATGACTACTAATGCTATGCATTTCTATTGCAATAGTGTCAAGGTACCTCAGACACCAAGGGACTGGGACCACACTGTGATAGGTGTGTGCCTGTACACACAAGGCACACAACAAGCTGGCATCGTCTATAAAAAATGAAGGACAGAGAGCTCTGAACTGTTTTACGCCCTTTTATCTTAGAATCCACTCCCTGTACAGCCCCAGCCCTAGCCACACGCTGTTTTCAGCCCCCAGTGGTTCAGCAACCCACAGCCCTTGTATTGCAGAGTCAGAGCAGGGCCAGATGGCATTTCATGCTCTAGCATGTGCCATGTCTACACTGTGTGTGTATGTGCACTCCTTCAGCCAGGCACCCTTTGCCCAGCTTGCAGGTCATATATTGGCCATCCTCCCTAGTCCAAATCCAGTGAAGATGTTTCTCCTAGTGACAGGAGGCCTGCAGTGAGTGAGGAGACCATCAATCCTTCTTACCAGCACAGAAGATGCCAGATCAGAGACAAAGAAAAGCCTTTTATAGCTGCTGCTCTGAAGTGGCTGTGAGTTTGAGAATCTTTTTATGGCAGGGGACTAAGGAAATCATGCCTGTGCCTGAGCCCACATACAGACACAGGTCTCTGCCCTCACCACAGGGATATGGGCTCGGGAACTCAGCCCTCCTGGGACTCAGGACTCAAGTGGGTGCTGCTGCGAATGGGATGTGGTATGTATCTGGTGCAGTGCATAAGGCTGGTGCAGTGTGCACTGAGAGCAGAGAGAGGCTTGTACACAGGGGAGCAGTTAAGGACTGGGCTATTCCTGCCCTTACAAGCAGCTGCTTCAGGTGATTGAAAGTCACTAGCCCAGGATTATCTCTGGAATTATTATTAATGACTTAGACAAAGCCTGTTGTAAAGGTGATTTTTATTTTGACAGTGTCTGAAATACTTGCTGGCAGCAGCTTATCTGGTCCTACTTCATGAGTAAGGGCATCCCTCAGCAGTACAGGCTGTGAGTGTGGGCACCTGATCTGCGCTGGGGCAGGGTGGAGGCTTAGCCATCCTCCCACTTGCTTTCATGAGGCTGGCAGGCAGGGCTGCTCTTAATTTGATTCTGATCCTCATTGCTGGCAGGGGCCCTGAGAAGTAGAAAATGGTTCACTCTGGTCTGGATCCCACTTTGCCTGGCAAGGGTGAAAGAGCAGCCTTATACCAGTGTTTCAGCAACTGAGGAGGTGTGCTGCATGGGATAGACTTCTGAGCAGGACATTTCTGGCCCTATGTATTCATGGAGGCAGAGTGCAGAAGCCTGCAGGTGACATCCCAGCAGGGAGAGGGAGAAGCTGTCTCCACAGGGACCTTGGAGCCTCCTCTCTCCCCTGTGGGAGGGCTGCACTGAGGCATGTCAGGGACCCCCATATTTGGCCAGTGACACAGCATTTTGGCTGCTTTAATTGGCTCTGACAAGACAAGGATTGCAACTGGCACCTGCTGAGCCCTCGGGACCATCCGAGGCAGCAGCTGCCACCGACAGCAGCACACACGATCCCTGGCCCAACATCACAAGACATTTCTCATGTAGCTGGTAGCATCACGGTGTCTGCAAAAGGGGCCAAATTCATTCACTACAGAGAGTGCTGGGATGCCAGCAAGGTACTTGGGATCTGTGCAGAGCCTTTCCCTTCAGCATTTTGGGGTTCACTCCCCTCACAAGGGCTGAAAAGGTCTGTGTGTGAACAAGCCTTATGTTCCATAAACTAGAGGGCTGAAGCAAGCAGAGACCGTGGCTTGGCATTTGTTTACTTGGGCTAGTTCCAGATCCAGGTCTGGAAATGCACAGTGAGCCTCCAAGAGCCCATCACTCTACATCTTTCCTCCTCGAGGCTACTGCCTACTGTGGGCTCCCTACAACAGCAAGCAACTCCAACTGCACCTGAGCCAGGAGGGCCAATCACAGAGGTCCCCCTGGCTGCCCCATGGAGAGAGTCCCTCCAAGTCCCCAGTGATGCCATTTCCATAGATGAGCTCAGTGTGAACTTTCCGCTGCTCTTCTCCTTGCATCTGGAGCAGCTAAGGCACTGTCCATCCTTCCTCTTGCAGAGTAGCTTGGCCAGAAGCAACATGAATGCAAGGCAAACAAGGGAAGATCAGAGGCAGATTTATTCCTCTTTCCTCCTGAGAGCTACAGGCACTTTTACAGACCAACAAGCACCTTCCATCTCCACAAAGGTCAGCCACCAGCTCAGAAGTGAGGCACTGGGATCATCTCTTCCCTCTTCCCAGTACGCTTCTGGGCTAGAGCACAGCAGCTGTTTAACAGCCTACTGCGACACAGCCTCACAATTTAGGGTAAGAATGACGCTTGCCATTTGGGGTGAGAGAAAAGTACCCTGCATGGTGCTCAATGAGCACTTGACCTAGGAGAAAACTTGCATTACAGTCCCTCACACTAACACTTTAGTCCCCCTTTTTACAGTTCCAAGTCCCTTTTTCCAGCCATCAGCCTTAAAAAGCAGAAGTCTGGCATATATATGGCTGCCTCACAGCTCTGCTAAACACTGATGGTGAGAAATAGGGGTCTGGCACCATGAATTCCTCATCCCTGCCCCCCCCCGCTCAAGCCCAGATCTGGGGCCTTTAAGACTCTTCCTTCCCTTTTCCTTCCTCTGACTGTTCTTCTTTCCCCACTGGCTGCTCCTGTTGCGTTATCTTCACCTCGTTGACTCTGGCCTTCACCTCCTTCCCTGTCCGGGGAGCCACAATGCTTAAGATGCCATCATGGGACAATGTGGCTCTCACCAGCAAGGGGTCGACATCCAGAGGAAGGATGTAGGTCCTGGTGAACTCTCGGGAGATGAAGCCATGGCGGTCAGCCTTCTGTGGGTGCTGCCCCATCACCTCCAGCAGGTTGTCTACGGTGCGGACAGTGAGCTCATCCGGCAGGAAGTGACAGACATCTAGGAATACCTGGAATTTGTGCTCATTGAGGCTGATCTCAGAGGTGCCTCGATCCAGTTGCTTATTGATCCGAGGCCTGATGTAGTAGCCATGGTACAGGGCAGGGGCTAAAATCTCACATGGGGACACACCTGAAAATGAGACTCAGTGAGGAGTGTGGGGTTTCCAGGGGAAGGAGTTGGAGAAGGATGGTTGACAGCAGATAGAGGAGGGTGACAGGAGGAGGCTGGGACCTGGCAAACACCTTGGTTTTGCCACCACATCAGCACAATATGGACGGAGTCTCTTGCGGTTTGTACCTTTGTGTCTCCAGAACATACACAGACCCAGATGCCCGCCAACCACTGCCTCCCACAACACAGCCAGCAGCTGCCAGCCAGCCAAGGGCTGGCATCCAGCATTTGCATGTCTGCTGGGTGGACAGGGAGGGACTGGTAGGTGCACTGGGCACTCTGCAGTGCAGGGGATGGGCATGGAAAATGCTGATGGTGAAGAAACTGCCCCGAAGAACTAAAGGCCTTTTGTGTGCCATTGTTCAGGGGGCTTTCCTTGGAGCTTTTTGCCTTTTCAAGCTGTTGTACTGGTGCTGAATGGTTCTGCTGCTGCCCACATTCCTTCCCCTCCACCAGCCGCTGCCCGGCTTTGTGCTGAACACCCCAGCTCAGCTTTTCTCCACTGCCCCCAGCTGCAAAAACTCACCCCCAGGCGCATTTTGCTCCATGTTTGCACAGCATATGCATGAATGCCAGACCACTGGGGGCATGAGGGAGGGACAGGAGAGACAGCAGTATGTATGGATGGAGGAAGTGAACCTGAAGAGAGACCCTGACTATTCTCTGGATATTCTCCCCTGATTTGACCTGGATTCTTATGCTCAAAATTCCTTGGCTCCAGCTACCCTGGCCTGCTCTGGAACTCAGTCTCCCCAGGGGGACTCCATCAGCCCTCCTGCACCAGAGGAGAGAAAGGTGCCGGGGGGATCCCATCTCCTTTCTTACCTTCTCCAAAGTTCTGGTCGTAGATCTTGCTAGGGTTGGCAAACTCGTACTCCGAACTCATGGGGTAAGCATGGGGGACAGTCCGTGCAGCCATGGTGTGTCTGAGAAGGGGACCTTCCAAGCACTTGCTGCCTCTGAGAGTGAAGGCTGCAGATTGCAAGGTTTTAATTGGGTGAATTCCACAGGGGGGAGTGTGTGATAAAAAGATGGACCAAAATAGCCACGCGCACAGGATGCCTCGCCAGGGTGACGAGGGAGGCTTCTCACTGCATTCCAGCAGGGAGTGCAGGCACTGCCTCCAGTCAGGGATGCCTTGGGAAAATCCCGCACCTCCTCCCAGCCTCTGAGGTCCCCTTCTTGAGCAGGGGGTGCAGGAGGCAAATGGGCAGCCAAATACAGCAGGGAGGCACAGAGGTGAGCTGAGGGAGGCTGAAGTAGGAGAAAGCAGGACAGACCCCAGACTCTGCTGCCTGTGGTGCTCCCAAAGGCAAGGGCCAGCAAGAAGGCTCATTGCAAGCAGGTTCAAAGAGTTCCTGACACTGGTCCTGCTGGCCCTGAAGCACCCCATGGGGACAGGGCAGTAGCTAATGCTGGCTGGTGCTTGATCAGGTCGTGCAAAGTCATGTGAAGTCACTATCACACCCATCACCCCACTGTAAGCTTAGGGCCTAAATCAGCTCCTCCTGTGCCCTACACAAAGGAGCTTGATTTTCCCAGAAGCTGAGTGGACAGCTCAAGCCTTTTGTTCCTGTGAGTGGTGAAGTGCTGCAGGTAGTTAAGCAGGGCTAGACAGGATCCAGATCCCACTACTGACACCTCCACATCCCGAACTGTGCTACTACAAGCTGGCTGTCGAGACTGTCCCCTGGCCAGGGCTTGGGCACAATGTAATGAGACCTGGAGAAATGCCCGTGCCAGAAATCACAAGTTAACCAGGGATCTGAAGCTGGCATAGACCCAGTTTTATTGAACTGGTGGGAGGGGACGGGGAATTAGTGCCCAGTTAAGATCCTTGTACCCTGAAACTAGAGATTTCCTTGACTCCATGTCCCTGCAGCATGAGAGAGCAGGTGCACTGCTGTTGATGTAATGGGAAATTAGAGAAGGTATTTATGGCCTGAGCTTGCACAGAGCAAATTCTGTTCCCTATTCTTGCAAGCAAACTGAGAGGAAGAGGGTCAGACCCTTTTGCAAGGGTCTGGTGGTGCTAGCAGTAAGAATAATGTGCCTCTGAGCCAGTAATTCTATTTAAGTTGCGAGCTCTCAGAGGCAGAGACTAGCTCTCGCCCTTTAAGGACAGTTGCTAGGCTGAACCCATTCCCATGATTTAGGTTCACAGGCGAGGCAGGAATTAAAATAAATGTGTGAATTAAGTCATATTAGGAGCATAATTATAGGAAATCAGCTTACTGCAGGGGCACAGGCAGACAGAGGTAGCTTGCACCCCTGAGAAGGCACGTTGCAGTGCAGCACCATGGGGGCGATTGGCATGCCCGCTTTATCTCTTCTCACAGCCCACTGGAGTACTCTGAGATCAGAGTGTTAGGCTCTTCTCCAGCCAAGTGGTTTCTGTAGTGGGCAAAGGATGAGAGGTGTTGGGCTGAAGCACTGTGGAGGAAGTCATCCTTCGTTCACACACACACCAATGGGTGTGCACTAAGGCAGCGGGGCTTACTGGGCTGCAGAGAGCCACACTGCCAGGGGTATCTCAGCAAAGGCCTCCTTGAATCTTTCCTGCCCTCTGACTAAAGCAGGCCTGTGGCTTCCTTTGCCTTAAGGAGAGGCAAAGGAACTCTCTAGTCTTTTCCTAGGCTAGTGGGTGATGTGGGAGCTCTCAGTGCTGGCAGTGGGAACAACGGCCCCTTGTCATTTTCCCTGTGAGCCAAAGATAGCAGCCGCATTGATCCTGCTGGCATCCAAAGCAGCTGGGAACATCTGCCAAGCCTGCCTGGGACTCTGCAGATAAACAGCACGTGGGGAGCGGGGCGGGCAGCTAGGCGGTTTGGCTTCTTGCTGCCCCATTAGGCTCCTTTTCTTCTTCTCCCCTTCCCCCTCCTCCTCAGCAGCGTGTTCAAATCCCCCAGACAGCTACTGGGCACCGCTGAAGGGACCAGCCCAGGAGTGGGACAATAAAAGCCCTGACACCACTGTTCAAGAGACCTCAGGCGGGGCGGGGGGGAAAGCCAGGCCAGCTGCAGGGGTATAAAGCTGTCCCCTGCTCCCGACACAGCACTGCAGCACAGTTCTTTGCCAGGCTCCTCCAGCACGCTGCAATGGATATCACCATTCATAACCCCCTGATCCGCAGACCCCTATTATCTTGGTTGGCACCGAGTCGTATCTTTGACCAGATTTTCGGAGAGCACCTGCAGGAGTCAGAGCTGCTCCCTGCTTCCCCCAGCCTCAGTCCCTTCCTGATGAGATCCCCCATTCTTCGGCTGCCCAGTTGGCTAGAGACGGGACTCTCTGAGGTAATTTTCCCTTCTTAATGCTCTTTGTTATTGCTGTGTGCACATCCTGATGGGTCTGGAGCTGGAGACCCATGAAAGCTGAGAGCTTGGAAGCTGCTTGTAGGTGGTTATTAGGAAAAGGATGGGGAAAAGGGTGCTCTGTTTGTGCCTCTGCTCCTCTGCATTAGGCAAGAACCTCTGCATACTCTGCTAATCATTTGTGACTGAGAGCAAGTATTGCCATAGTGTTGGGAATAGAGGCAAACTGAGCTGAGTGTGTGCGGGAAATGACTGTAAGAGCTGATGGAAGAAAGGAGGAAGCCTAATTTCCCTGTCTGCTCTGCAAAACGTTCAATCCCGGTCCCTCCTGAGAAGCAAACAGCACAGGGTAGTGGGCAAGGGTAGTGGGATCCTCATGTCAGGCAGTGTGTTGCTGAGGGAAAAGGGGCCTATTTTAAACAGTCACTGCTGAGGAGAGCAGCATTTTAAGTAAGGTACAGGACCCAAACGATCATGAAGCAGCTGTCTGCTTGCTTCAGGGGCTGAGCCAAGAGGCACGCAGTTCAAACAACCTTGCCTGTTCTGCGAGTCAACTGTCTTACTTACAAGTAACTTGTTGAGCTATTCTAAGCCAAAGGAGTGAGAGAAAAGTATTTTTTTAATCTTTGCATAATGTTTCCCTTGATTTAGTGACGTGGGTCTGGCTGTCCACTGAAGCAGCCATAATAAGCACCACAGATAACAACGTCTGACTATCTCAGTGGAGAAATCTTCACAAATAATCTAGAAGGAGGAGGAAGCACTTAGACTCCCAGGTCAAACTGCAGAAACCAGTAAGCCTAGAGCTGTCACAGTGGCTGCCTCCACATCCCAGAGCAGAGCTCCAGGAGGCTCGCATGCTCCCTGACCACGAATGCAGCAGGAAGGCAGACACAGTCAGCTCATATAGCAAAGTCCTACAAACATGCCCAAGACAGGTAGAAAATGCAAATTCAACCTCAGGAAGCAGGAAAAAGTAGTATTTGTTAGAGGCGATACAGTGCAAAATGGAAGGCAAGGAGGTGAGATTAGCAGCAGGTGACTCAGAGTTTCGGCAGAAGTCCTGCTGCTCAGATAACAGAGGTGAGCAGTAAGGTAGTACAGCTCGCCAGTGACACGTTATTTTGGTTACTAAAGAGTGACAATGCAGGGGAAAGCCTGCAAGCCTGCAAGTGAGCTGCAGTCAGCTGCATAGTCAGGGTTTCTTTTGCTTGAAAGACTTTGCAAAATCCAGTCACAGAAACTAGAAACCTCCAGACATTCTGTAAAAAAAATTGGATACAAAACCTGTATGCCAACTAAAGAGTCAGTTTTAACAAATTCAGATTAAGAGAATCTCTTCCTCACTCCCAAGGAAAACATTTATCCCATGTGATCAAGAGAAAGCATTCACATTTTAGATACTGTAGTGATGGGCATTGATGTAACAGGCCAGCAAGGCACAAAGCCACCCAGATCAGAATCCCAGGATCAAATGAAGGACAGACAGTACATGTGTAGATACCAGTTTGAGTCTTGAACTGCTATATTCTGACAGCCTTTTTAAGCTGAAACCCTCACCTGCTCTTTTCTGAAGTCACCTCCTTGTTTTGCAGATGCGACTGGAGAAGGACAAATTTTCTGTAAATCTTGATGTGAAGCATTTCTCCCCTGAGGAGCTAAAAGTGAAGGTGCTTGGGGACATGATAGAAATTCATGGGAAACACGAGGAGCGCCAGGTACTTCTACTTTAACTATGCAACTGATAGAGTCAGTGTGAACTTCATCTATGGTTAAACAAGGAGACTGCAAAACAATCTTCTCCTGTGCTCATCTCAAATACTTCTAGTGTTTTTTATCAGCCAATCCTAATGGAAGATTCTCTGTGCACCCCCCCCGCCCCAGCTGATCCCAGACTGGGCAGCAACAGGGTGGGGAATTTATTGCTGATGTTACATGAACTGTGAACTGAACTGGAAAATCATCTTTGAAATGGGCATTTCTGGACCTCCCTCTTTCTGAGAAGAGGCCAGGAATGCAGGAAGGCATTCAATAAACTGACAACGAACTGTAATAATTAAACCACATAATGAATCAGTGCATTACCCTGTTCTGTTACCATGAGGCTACCTCTTCCTGAAAAAGGCCCATCTAACAGTTTGTAATCTTTAAAGACTGTGTTCTGCTGTCAGTCATCCCATTGCTTGCTGGCTCTGGAGACCTGTGTGGCAACTGGGCAGACAGAAGTCAAAAGCCATGTCCAAAGCTGTATGTAACAGGGTTTGCCAGTCCCCATCTCCGTCCCACCCCCCATCCCCACCTCCTTGCCAGAAGGAAACAAATCCACATGATAAAGTAGCTATGTCACTGGAATTGTCAGCTCTAAGAGCTTCTGGGAGCACAGATCTGTCAGTCAGGAAATACAGCATTACTTGTAGCTGGTGGAAGCCTGTAATCCTGACATAGCTTCTGCAAATTTTTTTGGCTAAGAAAATAATCAAGCGCTATAGCAGAGATCAGCTCACTAGAAAGCTATGTATTACTAAAGCTCTGGAGACCCTCAGGAACAGGCATGGTTGGCACTGCATGTAGGTCTAGCTGCTGCATCTTAGGAATGTCTGTGCGATGAAGCCAGCCTCTGGCTGGCACAAGAGCTGGAACATAAAGCCTCCTCCTGTAAACAGTGTACCTGCAGGCACTTGCAGCGTAGGCAGGGCAGTGTCTCACTTCGGTCAGTCTGGGCTGTTTAAAAAGGGCATCTCATAACAAAAACTCATTTAATTTTCTGAAAAGTTTCCTTTGAGAGCTGGAGCTTCCTCATCTCAGACTTTATGCGAAGGGCCCATGGTTTAGGTGGAACTGAGTGAACATTTCTAATCAGGGCTGTTCCTTCTCTTCTCCTTTTGAAGGATGAGCATGGCTTTATTGCCAGGGAGTTCAACAGGAAATACAGGATTCCAGATGATGTGGACCCTCTGACCATAACCTCATCACTCTCTCTGGATGGTGTCCTGACCGTGAGCGCACCGAGGAAACAAAGTGATGTCCCTGAGCGCACTATCCCTATCACCCGTGAAGAGAAGCCTGCCATTGCAGGAGCCCAAAGGAAGTAGACTGCTATTTAAAGTCACCCCGGGGTGCCATTCAAGAGCACTTTTCATCAGATGCCAGCTATACTGAATGGCTACTCTTATTATTTATGCTGAGTAAGTTTACTAACAAATAAAACATGAATAAGCAGTTTGTATTTTTTGTTTTGAGCACTGAGGACAAGGGAAGCATTGCGTCAAGAAAGCTGTGTAAGGTTGCTGAGGAGGGAAACATACCTGGCATCAATCTTGCTTACAGGTTAAGTGGCAGGTGTGTCCAGGAGAGCTTGTCTTGTGTTTGAAAACACATTGTTAGTTTCACTTCGTGTACTCTAATGGTTTGCAAACATCTAATTGCATGAGCCTTTTCCTTCAATGTTGCCAGAGAATTTCAGTGTGTTTCACAAGCAACAGAAAAGTTTCTCCAGTGGAGATTAGACTGGTAAAACAACTTCATGCCAATCAAAACCCATTCGAAGTATGGGTATTAGATAACAACTAAATGGAAGACAACTATATCTTAAATCTCTAGAATGACTCATGTTATGGAGAAGCATCCAAGTGCTGCAACCAATTCAGAGCAGTTGCACATGAAAACTGCATAGCTGCAGCAAACACAGATATATCCAGAGAGGAGAAAAACATCGTGCTTTCATGGTGCAAATCACATCACTTTGAAACTATGTTGTCAGTGCCACTCAAACAATGAACAGGATCTGACGTCTACAGTATTAATCTGATTTATGCTAACGTTGTTGAGTGGTACAAAACACTCAGGTGCCATTATCTGCTTAGCACTTCTCTTCAAAGGGATATGAACATAAAGGAAAGTCTGTATTACTGGTATTGAATTTCTAAAATTCATCTCCAAAAAGGACAGAATGCCATAGATCTGTTGCATAGATCATCAGACTCAGTTATGACCTGACCTATTTTCTATGTTCCTTATACCTGCCAAGACAAAAGTTATATTAGAAGGGATGAGTTTAAATCTCAAATGAACTGAGAGGGCATCCTTCTTCCATGGCTTTAAGTGAGAAAAATAAAATGAGCACTCAGTGATGTGGGGACATTGTCAAATACCCCAAATCCCACCTAATTGCCAAGGTCTAGTGTTTCCTATTTGCTGGTTCTAATAAGCTCTTCCAGTTAAGGTGTTAGTTGGGCTTGCCTGACAAGGCACAGGGTGACTGGTGACTTGCAGTCACCTCTGCACACAAAACAAACAACAGAAACACACATAGGTTACAAACAATACAACTTAGAAAGCAGAAAGAACGTTTTTCACATGATGCCACATTTGGCATTAATGTGTGACAGGTCTTTTTGCTTGAAGGATATCCTTGTAGACAGGCCTCCTGTTTCTCTGAAAGCATAGTCTACAGATTCTCTCCATCTCTGTTGCTTTTCCGGCATCCTTCTTGTTCCTTCTCTGAACGTTGGACACAAGCAAAGAAAATACTGCCATATGGAGGCCTGTAGTCTATTGTGTAGCAGGACTGAGCAGTTGGGTTGAACAAAGGAGGTTCTAGTTCAGGGTGGTGGCTCAGAAACCAATGAGGTTCTTGTTCAAATCCTAGAAGAATAAACACAAAAAGTCTTGAGGAAGTAAGTGTAAAATAGTAAGAATATATCCAGAAAGTGCAACTGAGGGAAATCTTTTCTATAGAGCAGGGTTTTGTTAGGCTCAAACTCAGGAGCAAGAAATGGGAATTTTGAGTGAAAGCTCCTTAGGGATAGTGATGAGGTTAGCTAGACAAGAACACTTGAATTGCAAATACCACTCCCTGAATGACTTGAAATACCTGTTCTGTGGTGGCACAGGAGCATGACTCAACAATGAGAAAACCACAGAAAACAGTTCTGTCTTCTCTAACACAAATGTCATTCAGAAGCTCCTCTTTAGCTACAGATCCAATAGACTATGTTTCAGTTCTGTGCACGTACTTTTTATTCTCTGATGCTTTCCCTTGTTGTAATCTGAAGAGTATGTTGTTTCAAAGCAGTGAGTGTACTGAAAAAAACCCCTCACATTTAGCATGGCTAAATATAAGTAAAATATTTTAATATTTTATATCTTACAGGAAAACCAAAGTATCTGCAATTGCACTACTACTTTCAAATCAGTCTAACCTAAGATCACAAAGCTTCAGTGATGACTTTTGATTCACCATCTGAACAGCAAAGGAAAAAGAGCTGGACTGGGGCCACTGTTACAAGGAGTAAGACTGAGTTTAAACAAAAAAGCATTCCTCACATCTTTACTCCTGTAGTGGGACTGTTGTAGGGCACTCATCAGAGAAAAGGCTGCTGACTATTGACTTTCTGCATTTTTAAAAAACAGTAGAAAAGACTAGGAGCAGGGCTGCAGAAAGGGAAGCTACTCATGGGAGGCTTACCTCTGATGTATTCATAGCTGGGGACGGAAAGGATAATGCTCTGTGTGCATGACAAATTAAGTGACCAGTGATCATCTCAACTGAGATTTGCTATATCCACAATAAGGAAAAGCACAAGGACATACCTGGGAAGGAAGTGGCTTGGGCTGCACAGTTCTCTGGATATCGTATCGCTCTTCATTCCAGGTCCCCATGAGGGTTTTTGCTGAGTAATAATTTTTATTGGGGGTGCACCTCCAGCCATACTGGGAAAACTTAGAAGTGCTGTCTCAGTCCATCCAGTTCCCCATGGCCAGTAGCATGCATTAAAGAACCATGGAGGGAGTTGTACAGATCTTGGACATGATCTGGCAATAGAAATCAACAACTCCCTAGGATCAGCTTGGATCTCAACAGCAGGTAACATGACACCACCACGCCCCTGGTGACTGGAAAGGGACCTCCTATACTTCCATGTGTGACAGAAAGCATCAGAGAAGAACTGTGTTCCTTCTTGATGATAATAAGCATTTTTTTTTCTTTTTTTGGGGGGGTGGGGAGAGGTGGTATGGCAAGAATCTATTTTCCTAAACTCCGATACTGCATTTCTCAGCTTCACCTTACTGAATGCCTCTGAGAGTAACTTATCCACCCTTCGAAATAGACAAAGTGATTTACCCAAGGCCACAGGGACCTAATGCCTGAACCAGGACCAGACCTCATAAACTGCAGGCGGTAGGTCTCTGTTGGAGCTTGCCTTTGCTGATTTTAAGCCTTCCACTGTCATTACCCGTGCGACTCCTGAAACACTGTCCTTGCCCTGTGCAGCAGCTGAGGGCATGCAAATA